TAATTGTAATAGACGTAGATTTCAGATGTTTAATTGTTATCTTCCGCTTAATTATTTAAAGTTCTGCAGTTTTTCATGTTATCGCCTTATAATTGTTAAAAGAAGTAATTTGATAATGAAGTAAGTAGTTAAGGATTGGCTTGCCTAGCTCTCACTAGTAGGCGTCATCACGACTCCCGAGGGTGGGAAATCCGGGTCGTGACAGCTTTCTATTTGAAAGAAAATTTATATAAAAACATAATTCATAATTTAAAAATAATTCTCTAGCATCATTTATTTTTAAATTTCAACAAGTTAATAAAGTAACATAATTCACCATGATAACTATTTATATGTAAATAGCTAGTAGTTAATAATGAGCTATTAAATTAATAACTATTGTATCTCATAAACGTGGAAAAAATAATATTTAGAAAATTAATTATAAAAAAATTATGGACTATTATATAGTAAAGACAAAACAAAAGTTAATAAATAAATATTTTTTAAATGAAAGATTTATTTAAAATTAAGTTAGCAGTCTTAGTGGAAAATATGCAATAATTTCTATTTTAATTATGACATAAATAACTCTTAACTTAATGATTTATTATTAAGAAAAAAGTAATTTTGAATAGTCAACGATTTATTAAAAAAAATTGAGGATTTACAATGTTAGTTGCATACAATTGTATAAAGTTCTATTAGGCGAGCCCAGACGCTGGGCATTGGGCGTGTCCGGGGCATAATCCCCGATAGCCGAGGCGTAAGTCTCACGGAACTAAGCCCAACACATAAGCCTAGGGACGTTTTAAGAGTTCTCCGCCCCGGGATGAGTCCCGAGCGAATCCCAATTCTGCTTTTTAAAATAGAGATCACGTCATATAGGTGAAATTGAGTCGTGATACAAGATAACTACGTATGTCACACGTAGAATAATTAATCATGGGATAACATGGCTATTTTCACTTCCCCTTATTTTAAATGAGATGGAGGAAGGGTAGCCAAGTCCATCCAACGAACAAGGATTAAGCTGCCTCACAGATCAAGCACACTTTAATGACTGTTTAATATGAAGTATTGTATCCCAAACATTTCGACAAACTTGGCATGTCAATTCTTTTTACTAAAGCAAAATTTACGTTTTCTTCATTTAAATATAATTTCTGACTTGCAATGGTATTGGTATTAATCAATTCAAAGTTATTTCATTTTTTTTATGATCTCCCTAGAGTGGGTACGTCCATATAGTTCCGCTCATAACAGGAAAAAATTGATGCAAATCCAATACAAATTACTTAAAGGAAGTAAGTGATAACAGAATCTAATAAAATTTTTCTTATTTATGTATTGACTAAATTAAGATTAATCAACTTTAATATATAGCAGGAGTTCCTGATCAATAATAGCATACACTGGAAAGAACCAAGAAGATGCTGCTTCATTATTAAACCCAACTTGATTGCCCACTTGTAATTAATTTATATAAAAAGTGCAACCCTTTAGTTTATATAGCCTTTTGTTCTATTTTTCTTCTTCGGATTATAATATCTCATGCAACTTGTCCGTACAAAACAAAGCTAAGAAAATTACCTGCAGCTTCCCTTTTATCACGTTTGGATTTATGAATTTAATTGATATGTAAAAATTATTGTACTAAATTGGGCCAGGGGTACAAGTAATCTGGACATTTACTTCACAAAGAAAAAGAAACTCATATTATAAGAAGCGTAAAATGCTGTATACATTTAAATCTTATTTTTTTAAAACTAGTGTTGGATGATAATTCAATTTCAAATTAGCTGTTATGTTATATTCTAGAAGTGCAATTATTGTCCGATTTTCACCAAATATTTTCTTTATATCAGATCCCATGTTTCCCCAGAATTGTTTTATAAGTTTGGTTAGAGAATATATGTATAATGGGGAAAAATTATAAGATTTTGAGAACTTCTAGACTTCTAGTATTAAAACCTCTAATTTTGACTTAAAAAGAAAATTGTTTTCTGTTGTAATGAAATTGATCAAGATCGACGCCTATAAATAATTCATCTAAATGAATGAGCTATTTATTTTTTAGAATTTAATTTTTATACTTCGACATTACTGACATATTGTGCGCTTTATTTTTCTACGTTACTAGCTGCACTTATTTTAAACAGTAATTCTCTTTTACACATTTTTTACGCCGTTGAGGTATAAAATTTAAACTCTATTTTAAATACCAACACCGAGAATGTCAAGACTCACGAGTTCCTCTTTCAAAAATACATTTTCGTATATATACATAAAAATAAAATATACAAAGTTCAAAGCTTAAATTTCCTCAAACATTGCGGCCAACTGCACATTTTAGCATTTTTGGCAAGTAAAGAATGTCTCTCCTTTTTTTCTTTCCATCTTAGGGTTTTCTTTTAATTTAAATTTAAGTGACAGAAATTGGAGTCAAAGTCATAGACCAAACACAATTTGGTCTGCATTGTCAAATGTGCCAATCTTCATTCATATCAGACGGTTATTCTGTGACCAAGTAAAAGCTTTACGGAGTCTTATTTCCACAACTATATTCTATGTATTAAAAACAAATTCTCTACGCACACAATAAATAAAAGATAGGTATTACAATTCAAAATAGGTCAATGTTTTTGAACCAATGATGTCTAAATGAGATGCATAGTAGATGTAATGTAGTTATGATTATATAACAAAAAGATTCCCTATCATTTTAATTAAGAAATGAAGCAGGTCAAATTTTAGAAAAAGAAAAAACATGGTACAGTTTCTGTTCTTAATCAATAATTCAATATAGAAAATGATAGTAATAACTTGTCTAAAGGAATATAGTACCACCATGCATTGCTATAGTACTACCATCGTTTTAACATTGTTTTGTAAGTGTTAATAAATATTGAGTGTGAGTAAATTTTTACCTTTAGAGATGTGTCTTTAGACTCGGGAGGTCTGGTTGATATTATTTTGTTGATTATTTAGAGGGCTCTTTGGTTTATTTTAAGTTAAAGATTCATATGCTTCCTAATTAAAACTTGCAAATTTGGCAACTTACGTCAAAGTCGAGAGCAGATACGAAATATTGTTATTTATGTTTAGTGCTCATCATGTAAACGACAAAATAATAAATAGTAGCAATTTTATATTTTAACATTCGGATCAATCAATAGAAATAAGAATTCAAGATTCATCAGTTCTGTGTCACGACTCGTCGGCTCGATAATGGGTATACATGTTCCTAGATGGACAAAAAATATCTTTGATTCGAAAAATGGAAAATAAAATATCCATATATATTTCCAAAAAGAAAAGTTAATTTCAAGTTCTTACAAAAATTGTTTTTCTATTCATTTTATGTGAAGTCTCAAGTGTCTTGGTTTTACATGTTCACGTTCAGGTTAATATAACATGCAAAATATTAAGAATGTACAAGATTTTTGATTAGTTTACTCAGTTTGTTCTACAGTATCATTCTAAGCATAACAATTTCCGATTAATTGGTGCATAGCATGATCTTTTTATAACTCTTATCGCAACATTATGGACGATAATTACCTTAGCCTAAAAAATTCAGAACCTAACCAATAAACATACAATTGCTTTCTGACATAGATGGCTAAGGATTTGGAACCTTAGCCATCGTTGATGTTGACATAGAATTAAACAGTTAAGAGAAAGTCTGATAGAGACTTGAAAATTTATAATTTATAAGAAAAAACAAACGTGGGACAACACGGAAGGGTGATCGAGTTGGTTGAGCAGGAGATTCCCAAATGGGAGGTCGTAGGATTGAAACCCCTACATTCTATCCCAGTTAAACTCATCGTACAGGACTTGTCTAATGCGATTTACCTCTCCAGTGGGTTTACGAGCTATTTTACTGGAACGGGGTTCACCCAGAACACACCCAACGAATAGCAGCTACGAATTCTCTAGTTTAAAAATAAAATATAATGTGGGACGCTTGGACAAAAAGAGACAAATTAGGCTAAAGTATACTACTAGTAGTACTTAAATAGCAACCTTATATAAAAGCAAGTAGCAAGTGGACATTCCTGTGTTTTATCCAAGATAATAATGCCCAATAAAGAATGGATTTTGTCTAAAATCAATGAACTATGGAGGGTCCAAGAAGATATTGCCTTTTTCCTTGTCCAATATTTTGGCTTTCTTGACATGGAATTGAAGTGGAGAATATTACAAAGCAAGTTTTTATTACTTTTGAACTCACAAGTGTAACTTCCTAGCATTTACTTTCAATGGTGTACAAAAAAAGTGGAAAATTTTACTTACTTTTCGTGTTTCACTTTTTTTTGTGCAAGAGAAATATCTTACTTAATCACCTTTAAGCAAAGTAGAAATTTAACGGATGAGCCTGAATATTCATCATTAACATACACGAATTATCATTTTCATTATCTTGTTTTTACTGTCACTTCAAATTACTATAAATTTACTTAGTTAGAGACACACTTGTTATATTCCAAATCACAAATAAACCTCTTGTTATATTTCAAATCACAAATAAACCTCACAATGGAAATCGCACAATATATTTTATACAAGAATTTTTGTTGTAAAGTTTTAGTGCCTGCTCTTTAAGCTTTAGCACCAAAAAGGATGGGAATGGATGGCATATCTCTCTTCTAAGTTTCGTATTAGAGTTCTAAAAGTAAAAAATAAAAAAAATTAGATAGTGATCTCTTCTTCTTTAGTGAATCCTACACAGTGAACAACCAAAAAGAAAAATAATATTTGCGATAAATCATATATTGTAAGAATTTCTATTCTATAAATATTGTTTAAAACAACATGTTATCATAACATTCTATAAAGTGATTTAGTGACTAATGAAGTGCTTGAGAATCATGATTTTCAAATTCAAATCTTAACAAAAGCAATAAAATACCAAATAATTCGTGCAATTTGTACAAGACTTGATAAGGAACTCCCAAATTATAAAGATATATAGTAGAAAGGGAGGTAGCAACCAAGGGTGTGGGGTAAGTCATGGTCCAGATGTCTACTGCGGCAAAAAGCGGCTCAGTAACAGAAAACGACAATTCAATTAATCAACTTAGACGTCAATAACCTATAATTTTATCCAGTGTTTCCAAATAAACCACGTGATTGAAAGCTTCTCTCCTCTAAAAAAAACTTAGAATTTTTCTCCGTTTAGAAGGTTCAAGGAAGCTCAAAATCCCCTCGGCAAAATCTAACAATCTTTTCAACAAACAATACTTTAATCATTACAATCATGTTCATTCTCCCACCCGTGCATGTACCATTTCTCATATAAATATACCCCCATTCCTTTCCTCAATAAATCTCACAAGTCACAACTTCCTCTGTTTTCTCTGCAATTCATTCTCAACAAAAGAAAGAAAATTCATTACCAAATTAAAGATTTTTTCATGATGTATGGGAATTGTGAATTCGAAAATGATTTTGCCATTCTTGAATCAATTCGGCTTCACTTATTTGAAGACTGGGAAACACCATTAACAAGCTCCGACAATTCAACAACCTCGGATTTGAGCAGAAGCAACAGCATTGAGTCCAACATGTTTCCTAATTGCTTGTCCGATGAATTTGATGCAGCAGATACGTTTCTTTATGATATCCTTAATGAAGGCGTTGGCTATGGATTTCAGCCAGCTTCTGATTTTACAAACCCCAATGTTAAATTGGAACCTGAAATATGGAATTTACCGGAGTTTGTCGCACCTCCGGAGACGGCGGCGGAGGTGAAAATGGAACCACCAGTAGTGATGACGGCGCCGCCGCCTCAGAAGGCAAATCATTATAGGGGCGTGAGAGTGAGGCCGTGGGGGAAGTTTGCAGCGGAAATTAGGGATCCGGCGAAGAATGGGGCAAGGGTGTGGCTGGGTACGTATGAGACGGCGGAGGACGCAGCGTTGGCATACGACAAGGCGGCGTTTCGCATGCGGGGGTCACGTGCATTGATTAATTTCCCGTTGAGGGTTAATTCTGGTGAACCTGAACCCATTAGAGTTGGTTCGAAACGATCATCAATGTCGCCGCAGCATTCTTCTTCGTCGTCGGCGTCGTCGCCGAAGAGGAGGAAGAAGGTATCTCAAGGGACGGAGCTAACGGTGTTATAGGTCCCAACTGGGTTCTGTGTAGTGATTAAGAAAAATAGAATTAGTCGAGGGAATTTGTTTTTTACTTGGCTGAAGTAATGAATTTGTTATTTATTTATTTTTTGACTGTGGTTGAAATTGAATCAATCATATATCTATGGGCATTAACGATCATATTAATGGAAGATAATTATCCAAAAGGCATTATTGAGATATTGAGAAAAGATAAATGGTCAAACTTAGAGTTCGGAACCTAAATATTGTGTGTTTGGACTCAAAACACACAAATAAGTCTATTAAAAAAAACGATATTTATATATATAGCGTGCAACAACAACACGTTATATATTAACGGTAACGTCTGCCGTTAAGTATAGCGTCTTGTTGTTACATGCTATATGTGTCAGACGATTTGACTTCTCATATAGCGTGTTCAAATTAAACGCTATATATAACGTTTTCAAATCATACGCTATATATAGCGTTTAATTTGAACTCGTCTTCTTCCTCGACAGCCCTTCCCCATTTTTCTTACAAACCATCCCTGCTCCTGGTCCCCCACCCCCAACTGCTCGCCCGTCTAAAAAAAAAATTGTGGGCCCTTCCCGTCACACAAAAGGTCAGGAACGTAGGTCCTACATCGTAGTAGAGCATTCTGGACTCGTGGTTTATCTCATTCGTCTTCAAATTTTCATGCAATACACACACAACATCGAGGTATTTCGATTTATTTTATGTCCAAACTTCTATAATAATGTATATCACTGCCTATTGAATGTGTTTCCATGTCCTTTTGTGTTGTATTTGCAAAACTAGTATGTTATAATTATCCGGACTTAGATATTAGTGTAAAATTTAGATTTAATTTTTTATGTTAATATAAGTATTTAGATATTAGTATTTCTATGTCATTATGTGTTTTTTATTTGTGAATCTAGTATTGTTGTAGCTATTTTTTTTAATGTTATGTGATTAAAATATATATATGTTGTTTATATTTAGTTTATTTATTAGCGTAGTAAAATGTAGAAACTTTTAGCGTAGTAAACTGTATAGTATTTTAGCGTAGAATCCTTGTAGTTTAAGTAATTTTAGAATGGTAGATGAAAATATATACTTTGTATAAATTTAGAATTTAAATTATAAAACAAACACACACACAAAATAATCGAAAAATTAAATTTGACATACATAAATATTCACGATAGTTTGGTGCTACTGGGCCTTAAATATAGAGTCCGAAACCCACTTGTTACATATACTTTGTACAATTAAATCTCTAAAAAAGTTTAGAATTTAAATTATAAAACAAACACACACACAAAATAATCGAAAAATTAAATTTGACATACATAAATATTCACGATAGTTTGGTGCTACTGGGCCTTAAATATAGAGTCCGAAACCCACTTGTTACATATACTTTGTACAATTAAATCTCTAAAAAAATTAGAATTTAAATTATAAAACAAACACACACAAAATAATCGAAAAATTAAATTTGACATACATAAATATTCACGATAGTTTGGTGCTACTGGGCCTTAAATATAGAGTCCGAAACCCAATTGTTACATATACTTTGTACAATTAAATCTCTAAAAAAATTAGAATTTAAATTATAAAATAAACACACACAAAATTATTAAAAAAATAAAATTGACACACATAAATATTCATGAAAATTTGGTGCTACTGGGCCTTAAATATCGAGCCTGGAACCCAATTGTTATATATACTTTGTACAATTAAATCTCTAAAAAAATTTAGAATTTAAATTATAAAACAAACACACAAAATTATTAAAAAACTAAAATTGACACACATAAATATTCATTAAAATTTGGTGCTACTGGGCCTAAAATATCGAGTCTGGACCCAAATTGTTAAATATACCTTGTACAATTTAATAATTAACATACAATTAATGTTGTTTAATTTACAGTTGACGACATGGACGCGCTTATACATCCCGGCCCTTACTCTCGTGAGCTATTAGTGCTTCAGGGTGATCATAGGTCCGCCCATATATGGAATGGAGAGTTACTTTCCCAGACTCTCTGCGCTAGGAGAGTGGACGACCCGTGGGATTTTCTTCATGACAGAGTTCTCCACGAGCGTGTAGTCCATCGCCTCCAGGCCACGGGATTCTATACGATTTTTGAGATCGGTCAGATATAGGTTGATTGGGCGTTGACCACGACGTTGATTGAGCGGTGGAGGCCGGAGATGCATACTTTTCATTTGCCCATTGGCGAGGCTACCGTCACGCTACAGGACGTTGAGGTTTTATATGGCCTGCCCGCGGATGGCATGGCCGTTTCACTGCCTATTGCTATGAGATATATGTCGCGTGATCATTATGTGGACATGCTGCATCAGCTCACTGGTTTCAGGCTTCAGGACGAGGCTGCATCGTCTGGTGCTAGTCGATTGGCTTTGACCCCTATTAGACAGCACCTGGAGCTACTCCACCCCGATATCACTGACGATACAGATGAGGAGCATATCACCCATTATACGAGGTTGTTGTTGCTTCTTCTATTTGGAGGGGTCTTGTTCCCTAATACTTCGGGAAACCTCGTCAGCCTTAGATTTTGCATCATCTTCAGCTGTTGGATGAGTTACCCTATTATAGCTGGGGTGTTGTTGTTCTCGGCTACATGTATAGGCAGATGTGTCGGGCGAGCATGGCCACTCAGAGAGATGTTTGTGGTTTTATGCCGCTTCTACAGGTGACAACATATTTCAGTAAAGTGTTCATCATTTCCAACTTTACCTAGCTAGACTTTATCTTAACCATTACGTCAACTTTGTATGTTAGGTTTGGGCATGGGAGCGGTTTTTGCAGTTTCAGCCACCGCGACCACAATTACCTCCTACTGTAGCACCTCCGTTTCTCCCTCTAGCCAGGAGGTAGGTTCTCCGCCATAGACTATTACGAGAGTATGATGCTCATCATAATCTCCCCCTTTGCAAGGATGTGTTGGATCTGCTGGAGGGCGCACAGATAAATATGTATCTAAACTTACCTTGTGTGGATTAACTTAGTGTTGCGCATACTCACGTTTCATGTTCTTATTTGATAGTTCATCTGGACGCCATACAACGAGGATTTGATAGTTTCCCTGCCACCTTATTGCTCGGCTGGTCGACATATTTGGAGCACTTCTGCTCCACTCATATGCCTTGATATTGTGGAGCATCATGCCTCGGAACGGGTACTTCGACAGTTTGGCCGCCCACTGTATATATCGAGGGTGCCTATATGGGAGCCTACGCATTATCAGAGGGATGATCGTAGCCGGGCGGACGACGCATTTATGGCATGGTTAGTCGGGCAGATCTAGAGTTGGGACCATCGAGAGGAGATGATTCCGCCCCACATACATGGGACCAGGAGGTGGATATTCAGAGGTATATGTCTTGGTACCGACACGTCACCCGACTTTTTATCGAGAACCATATTAATCAGGCTGGCGATCGGTACGTTCCATACGCCGTGCGACACGAGGCCCTGGTATGTTTTCTATTTTTTTTCATCATATAACAATATTTTAGTGCAATATACGTACTTTATATTAACCATATTAATCAGGCTGGCGATCGGTACGTTCCATACGCCGTGTGACACGAGGCCCTGGTATGTTTTCTATTTTTTTCATCATATAACAATATTTTAGTGCAATATACGTACTTTATATTTTATACGTTGTGCAGGCTATTGGACTATACACAGTCTACCAGATGGGACTGCAGATGCAGGATTATATCGGAGATCCTGCGGATGCCTTGCAGGATTATAGCCGTCGATTTGTAGAGGTGGCTGCCCGGACACTGCAGCGAGCCCGGGAGGATCAATGTTTGACTCACATTCCTGATTATATGGAGCCAGATCAGTACAAGCGAGGTCCTGGTATGGCACGAGGTGGTGGTGCCCGACGAGGCGGGGGTGCCGGACGACGTGGTGGTGGTCCCCAGCAAAGGGGAGTTGAGGCCCCTGCTGATTATGTTCCTGCCGATATGCCGGGTGGCCTTGGGACGGATCTCACTCTAGGGACTTCGCAGGTGACCCTGTCAGGTCAATTATTGATCACGGGCACGCAGTTTTCTGGAGTTGATTGGGATACATACTTTCCAGGCCCGTCTACCATTGTTGAGGACCGGCCAATCCGAGATTTAAGTGGTGGGCGCCGGCTGAGTTATGGTTCATCAACACATTCGTAGGTATAGTTTTCATAACGTATTGAATTATAATTTGTCTTTTTTTTCCATAACTTTGTTTATTTCCTTTTTAAGGCTGAACGCAATTTTGACATGGTTGCCACTGATGATTACATTCAAGAGCCCGAGGAAATAGTGGTACGACAATTCAAATTGTTCTGACGAATTATATACTTTGCTATTCAAAGCTTTTGACTCTTATGCAGGTTTCTACTGGACTGACGGCCTCTTCTACTGATCCTGTCAGCACCACTGATGTTCATGCAGTGGCGCATCCGGCTATAAGGCGACGATTTGATGATGATGATCCTGATAGCGTCCTGTGACGACCCAAAGGGTCATCACCGGCCTCTAATTGAATTTTGTGTCTCCGAGGCCTTGAAAACCTCATTTAGGGTTGTCTCGATTTGCGTCCGCAGACCGGGCGTATAGCCGGAAATCTTAAACTTGAAATTCTGTGAAAAATGCTAAGTTTTGATATTAAAATGAATAAATTTGATTTCGGTCAACATTTTGGGTAAATGGACCCGTGATTTGACGATCTCGGAAGGTCCGTAGGAAAATATGGGACTTGGGCATATGCCCGGAATCGGATTCCGAGGTCCCAAGCCCGAGAAATGAATTTTTGAGTGAAATTGTTTTCTTGAAATAATTAAGGAAATTGGAAATGAAATTTGATTAGAAGACTATGGTATCGGGACCGTATTTTGGTTCCGATGCCCGATACAAGTCTTAGATATGTTTTGAATCACTCCTGTAAAGTTTGGTTAAAAACGGACGTCGTTTGACATGATCTGGACCCTAATCGGAAAATTGATGTTTAAAAGGAAATCTTNATTTGGATTCGTGGGGGAATGGGTAAACGGGTTTTGGTCCAAACCTCGGGTTTCGACC